TCTAGTGCTCAGTTAGCAACAAAGCCTCACTTTCTGGTTAAGCAGAGCCATGAGCTAAGCATGTGTTGAAACCTGAACTCAAGGACCTCCTTCAATGCATGAGCAGCCTCAAAGAGCAAACTTCCTCAGCTAATCACCAGCCCTGCTCTGGAAGCCAGACAAGGCTGGGGACAACTCTAACAGCCCACATTCCCCATCAAGGACCCTCTTGGCAAGCATGAAAATGGGAAGAGAGCAGCCAGCTCTCACCTGTGCTCTTCCTGGGGTGCTTGGACCTACTTTTAACAATATTATTAAACACTTCTGACCCTGTTTTGCCAGGATGCAGGTGCAGAGATCCCACACACTGCCTACAGGACTTCTAGGACAGCATCCCTGGGCCAGTGGGAGATCGCACTTGGCAGAGAGAGTTAGATATGGACCAGGGGAACACCTGCCCCTTTTCCCTTACAGAGCTGTCAATGGAGCACGGATTTAGGAAACCTGAATCTTCAAACACTTCAGCTCAGATCAGGACATTCCAGCTTAATTATCACTGCCAAGAGGTGGCACCAAAACTCCTCAGGTTTCGGAACCTCAGAGCAAAGGGTGGAGATGCCAGGAGCACTCTAAGAAATCTTTGTATATTGAGCAGCAAATGAACAACCACACCTGCCACTGAAGGCTTTATAAATGCAGTAATTGCAGTGTCTATATGCTATAGCAAGTCACACCTGGGCATCAGGAGAGAAACCCAAGAGCATTCTCAGCTCTTTAAGTGCTTGCACATCTCCTTGGCTGCCCCAGATGTCATCAGGCTTAGCTTGGACTTCCTTATCTCTCAGAAACTGCTGTCACGCAGGGTTTTCGGCCACAAAATTGCTACAGGAAAGGGCTGACTGCAGTTGTCTCACTCATGAGCTTGGGCCAGTGTTCATCTGTGAAAGCAGCCCTGGCCAAGCCACCCAAATTACCTGGAGATGCACTGGGGCAGGAGCACAAGTAACTGTTAAAAATCCACTTTTTTTTTCCCCTGCAACCAGAAAAACAATCAGGTGGCCTTTTAAGAGAGATCTGTGTTGTGGGCTTGATTAAGAGAGCAGTAGTAATAAAAATCTGAAGCGTTTTTAATGGTGCTTAACAGCAGTTGTTTAGATATGGAGGTGACAAAGAATTTGAGGAGAAAATGGCTACCAAGAAAGTGAAGCCCCTTGCCTCATGCTGCTGCTCACAGTATAACTGCTATCCCATCTGCATGTGAAAAATCACACACATCATTAACTTTTCCACCCTTCAACACGCCCCTGAGCCTGTGCTATTCCCTTGCCCAGGACCCAAGCACTCCTATGGGAGTGTGGGCAGCAGGAAAATCACACCAAAGACACCACCACGGGGGCCTCTGGGCACAAACAGCAGTGTGTGACAGCCAGCACAGGCTCTCCCAAGCCACAGGAGAGGAAACTGTCATAGACCAGCAAGAAACACCATGCAATTACCTTTTCCCAGGTGCATCCAGATCCCATACTCCTCTTTTCACAACTCCGTGGAAGAGCTTGCACCTCACTATATCAGCATGCTTGGTTTTGCAAATGTAAAGACTGGGGGAAGGAACCCGAGAAACCTAGAGTTTTACCTTACCCAGTTGCTGCAGAAATCAAAGCACCCTGGAAAGACAATTTATCTTATGAAAGCGAGAGACTCAGAAATAGCCACAGTCAGAAGGTGCTCAGGTTTATTTCTGTATAGAGGAAAGGCTAAGCTCAGTCTCTGCAAGGCTTAAGGAAATACTGTCTGCATAAGCCCCTCAAGCCAACCCACACCAAGACTATGCCTTTTTCCCTTCCCTCCCCCTAGCTTTCCTTATCTGTAAGTGACAAAAGCCACCCAGCTCAGTAGCAGCACCTTCAGGGCATCACCAAGACCTGGTCTTTGTGGTCAAAGCGAGGTCAAATACTGAAACTAGCCCTGGCTGGCATTTACAGCAGAGTTATTCCCTTTCTGCAAAGGGGCACATTTCC